AGCTGTGTTTTTATGGCTTCATCTCTGCTCTTTACTGCCCTACACTCATTCTACCATGACCTGATTTCCTGTCTCCTGGTGGAGAATAAAAACAAGGACAAATCTGACTGTGGACCAGCGGCACTGTGGACCAGCGGCACTGTGGACCAGCGGCACTGTGGACCAGCGGCACTGTGGACCAGCTGTACTGTGGACCAGCAGCACTGTGGACCAGCTGTACTGTGGACCAGCTGAACTGTGGACCAGCAGCACTGTGGACCAGCTGTACTGTGGACCAGCTGAACTGTGGACCAGCAGCACTGTGGACCAGCTGTACTGTGGACCAGCTGCAGTGAATTCACCAAGAAAAAAAAAAAAACTAAACTCAGAAATAATTCAGTTTGTGTCGAGATCGTCTTCTAAAAATCAAATACTAAATTCACCTGAGGTCACATGGTATCAACCTGAGGTCACATGGTATCAACCTGAGGTCACATGGTATCGTCCTCACTCTGACGTCACTCTTTGTTTACTATCGTCAGATTACGGTGCAGTTCATAATCGTGCCTCTAGTCCTACATCTACACCATACTGGTCCACTGGTCCACTGGTCCACTGGTCCACTGGTCCAACCCTATAGTCCAATGAACCAATAACGTGTGCAGTCTGTCGTTCAAGCTCGACCCTCTGCTGCCCCCGTCTGTGAGGAGGACTCGGTGCTCGGGGCCGTGGCAGTTTCTAACGAGGCAGTCCATTACAGGGGTGTCGTCCTGATCGGCCTTATTACACGGAGCGCCCTCTGGGGGAAAGATCTCTCTCTTCCTAATGATGTATAATTGACCTCCAACCACCAGGGCACCACTCTCTCTCTCTCTCTCTCTCTGGGGGGGGAGAGTTGGGGGGGGGGTGTAATTCCACCCTGCCTCCTACATACCACCCGTCTCGTCGGAGCTTGTTTCTCCTGCGCGGCCTCCGCTCCCGTCAGACTGACAGCTCTGCCTGGGTTTGTGTAACGGCTGAGACTTGAACCGAGAACAGACTTGTCCGTGTCTGTGTCCTCGGCCTCGGCCTCGTTCACCTCCGTCTGTGAGCCCGCTCACTGACGCTGGTCCGACCCAGCTGAATATAGGACGTTAGCACGCACTGCAGTGACATCACTGTACGGAACCAGACCTGTTGGTGGGA